TTTCCTCTTAATTTAAACCCCGTAGAATAAATCAGACACACTGCTATTAAGGAGGAAAAGGAGCAGGTCCTTGTGCAAGACAGGAAGAGCAGAGTGTGGGCTAGCAGAGAAAGGAGAAGGCGGCGACACAGATCCAGCAGTTTTTTAAAAACCTTCTAATTAGAAAAAAAGTAATACCCTACCCCTTGACTCTCATTTCCAGATTTCTGAGCACTGTGAGAAATTTTCCACTGCTACTTTAAGGGTAACTTTTAAAAATATCCTTCAGACATTGCAAACAATCATATTCTGTATATTCTACATATTATGAGCGGCAGATCATTTGGGCTGCTGTCTGAATTCAAAGTACTAAGACGGCAAGCTGGGCAACTGCAACAAAGTGATTCTGGAAGACAAATATGTGTTTTATCTATAATTACAGCTAAAAGAGTCTGGTGTTTGTTTTTTTTTTCTTCATCAGAATGATAGCTGAGCATCTTTCTCGGGAGAAAGCCTGGGTCCAGTACTAATACTTGAGAGAAGGACGAGAGCAGGGAAGACGCACAGGCAGGGCTTTGGGCAGAGCAGCCGCCCTCGCGTGCCACGTTCCCCACCATGAGAGGGGTCTCCGGCGCTGTAAGGGCTCAAACAACCTTTTCTAAATTCCTCCAGGCTGAACCTGACACATGAGTCACTGGCCAAAGCATAAACTGTTTCTGAAAGGGCTTAAGAGTTGAACTGTTTTCTACTCTGAAGCAGCAAACCCACCCATTTAACTGCGTGACTCACTCAAGGTTTTAATCCAAACCCAAACCACCTTCACCGGGGTCACAGGCACTTATTCCCCATCGTATCATCCACACAAGGCAAAATGTCCTTATGCTGAAGGTAAGGGCGTAAGCCTGAAACAATCTTAGGACATCAAATTTTAAGATGGGGAACAGGATTCTTTGGAAAGGTCATGCCAGAGAAAGCTAATCCACTTAACTGGATTTAAGGCATCGCTTTGCATAACCAAAATTTATCAAAATTTGGGGGAATGAAGCGAGTTTCTGGGGGAATGAAGCAAGTTTCCAGATTCACCCAAGGAGTCATCAACCATCGTGCTATCTGCAGCAGCAGATGTCTACAACGTCGTACAGCTGAACAAGGAGGCTCAGGGATGCCGAGCTACACGCGACGGCCTGCTCCTCCATAGCTTCACAAGCGCAACAGCGGCGTCACGCCGAGTTGACAAACAAGCTCGTTGCTCAGTCTGCTCCACCGCGTTTATGGCATTACTGCTATTCTGAGCTTCCTCAAGACACGAGACTTGAAACTTGGAAAACGTTCTTCTCAATGTGATCCGGGAGATATCAGTATTAGTTTGCAGATATCTACACGCTCCCTCTCCTTTTAAGGCAGCCTTCTTGGCTCTTCCCCTCCTCGCTGGGACACAAAGTCTTGGCTCAGGAGGCGACACTGTAATTCCATTTCAAATAATTGAAAGCTTCTCAAGCCTAGTCCTTAGCACCAAGGTTTCTAAAATAAACTTCAACCTTCAAAAGTCCACAGCGATTGCACTGAGCTGGTTCAGCTTTTCCAGACAAACTGAAGTTAAACAGAACCAAGCAAGAAGCGAGACGGCTGCTCGGTTTGTGTTACTGCTAAGAAAGAATCTGTAAATTTGTTTCTCCGGCTTAATAAACTGTGAAGAACAGTCAGCTTAAAAGGCTTCAGTACAGACTTTGTCGGCAGCACAGCTGGAATGGGAGCACCAGAGGGAGCGGACACTGTAAGAATAAGCATTCTCGCCCTCAGAGCTTTAGATCTATCAGCTTTGCAAATACATACACAATGCAAACTCATCGATTACCTGTTATTTTACTGCAATGCCAAAGCTAGAATCATGCCCAGCAGCAACGAAAGCAGTAAGTCATACAAAACACAAGAGCCGATAGGAGATGCATCCACTGCCACGCAGCCTACAAAGCAGACTGGTTTAAAGAGGCGTTCCCCAGTGCAGCCACACTGCTCCGTGGCCGGCTGCCTTAACCCTGCGTTGAGAATTTGACATTTTATTGTTACAGCTACCCTGGGCTCCTGCGGTTAAGTGCTTACGGAGTGCTTCTGCAGGAACAAACCGCAACAGCGAGGGTTCGTGGTGCATCTCGGGCACAGCACCCCCAGTCGCACAGACACCGTCCGGTCACACATACAGCCTGGCTGGCTTATGGCTCCATGATTTCACCGTTCATATAGGCAAATAAGCATTAATTGGGTTGGGGTTATACAATGCATCCTTCCCTACAAAGGGCAATTGAACAGACAGATATTAAAAAAGTGGTTAAGAAGAGGTTATAAGTTGTAAGCTACCTTTTCTTCATTAATTTTCCTAGCTTTCCTGTTGCAAATCAGATTATAACTGCATGGTCAGTTTTAAGCATCAGACCACTGAAAGCTATTCGCTTCTTTTTGGGAGGAAGAAATAATTCCCAATTAGTACTTTATAGCCTCGCTCTTGGTAAATTACACGCCCGTTCGGAGAGACCGGAGTAAAACGATGTTTGCAGCAGGAAGCTACATTAAAGCAAATTTCCCATCCGTAGATCATATTTTTGCTAATCTAACACACGTATGCTCTCTGCTTCTCCCTACTTGTTGCAGGCAGGGTGAACAAATACCTCTCCTTGTTAATATAAAATGTATCCCTTCATTAAGTTCCTTACTGGGGAACAACAGCAGAGACTGGAATTAGGAAGTAAGCGTGTCAACAAAATGAAAGGGAAAGCTTACAAATTAAATTTCTGGAATGACACCCAAATTAACAGCGGGAACGTGTTCTGTTAGTCATCCCCAAGCATCATTTCCTCCAGGTTGTAACATATGGGCTCTGACTAAGACTTTGAAAGTTATACAAGTAAGAGACTGGCTTTCGCCTGAGTCTGTAGAAGATTCCTAAGAAAGATTAATAACTGAGGTCAAGTTTCTTGCCTACTTACTTGTGAGGGGCTGACAGATTTGGGAATAAACTACAAGCTCATCCCATGAGGAAAGGGGGTGAAATGAAAGAAATAAAAATAAGACCACACAAAAAAATTATTTTTTAT